AGCTGAAATTGTTTGCTAAATTCGTGTTTGTTTGTTGGTATTCAGTACGAACATTTTGTGATGAGTGTGGCTAGGTTCTTAGAAGTAAAATTCCATTAAGTGCATCTTAGAATTATTAGCATGGACATTGGTTTGATTTAAAATAGCATCATTTCTGGATATGAGTTTCCAGTTTGAAACTTTACTCTCACCTTGTTTCTTTTGTTTGCTTGAGAGCAAGCAAAGAGCTAAGTGTGGGGGTGTTGATAACATGCATCTCATTTCATCCTTTTAAGTCTAAAAGTGTCTCATTTTCATCCATTTCATGCATAGCATGCATATAGCTTAGGATTGCATTTTGCATGTATTTTGAGAGTGTTTTCAGGACCTTATGGAGCTAAGGAGGTATTGGGAAAGAGGATGGACCAAGAAAAGGAAGGAGGTTCAGCAAAGAGAAGGAGTTCTAGGTGTGGAGATGCTCATACTAACTAAGTGTACCGTGGAGAACAACTCTGTTCTTCCATGGTACGATCTGCACCCAGCAAGACGTATTCGTACAATGAGGAATTTCATCGGAGGCGATTCAGACCGACGAAGTAGCGTCCATACACCAGTGAATTTACACGGTGCACCCATACCGATCAAGGCTTGACCGTACACTGATGAGTCTGCTCGGCATGAGGAGCTTCAGGACATACCGATGAAGTGCACCGAGGAAAGCTGTTTGACACCTTCCACGGTATGTCCCAAGATCGAGCCTCACCCGATCCAAAGTCCAGGCAGCGAATCTTCAGCACGGACAAGCCAACTGAACCAAGGAGAACAAGAACTTGCCTTCCTCGGTATCGGCTATTTTCAGGGTGTTGACTGCGAGTTGACTACTTGGGGTATTTTTAGTTGACTAGGTCTATTTTGGAGCTTTCCTATAAATAGCCTAAGTCCATAAATCGCCCCTTATCCAGTTTTTATTCAGTCTTATCTTATCTTGTCACGTCTAAAGCTTTCAAGCAAAAACCTTTCTTTTTTGTAAGAATCTTGCTTCAAATTCATTGATCGTGGGTTTTATTTAATTAAGAGTTTGTCTTTCTTTGCTTTATTTGTATTTCTTCTGATTATGAACATATTTGATGTAGGAGTTTACTCTACTTCAAATCCTACATATACTCATATCATTGTAGTATGTAGGTATCAATCCATAATGGAAAGGTAAGACACTAAGAATGCAGTAGATCATCTAATTCAAGCAAGTATAAGCGGTGATTGAAACTATGAAACTTATGATTAAGAGAGACTTCAAATAAGAAAGAGCAAGAAAAATAAACAGGGAAACTAAGGCAGGTTCGAATACAAACAATCAAAGACTAGTGAGCTTAATATAGGGTAATTGATCTAGGGAGACTCTTGGCTTAAATAGTGATGCTTCAAAACATTCCAAACAATGTTATTCCTAGGCATAGAATTAACAGCTATAGCTAGCTCAATTCCTTGACACTAACCACTTTGCTAAACATATATTCAAGACAAAACCCTTTACTCAAACACATAATCAGCAAGCATTACAAGCAATTAATCCAATATTATAATGCCAATCTACTCCTTAGACAGCTAGTTCCTTAGGCTAAGATAAGCAAATCTCTTACTTGACTCATTCAGGCAATTCATCAAACACTTATCAGGCATAAGAGAACCCTAGGATCTAGATCAACTTAGCAAAAGCTAATCTAGCATTAAACTCAATCAATAAGAAGGAACAATCACATTAAGCACTAAGCAATCACTAATCTAACCTTCAATCTCCCTATCTCTATCCCATCTCAAACCTTAAGCATACTAGTCACTAATCATGATCCTAATCACAGCCCAAAGCAAGGAGGGATAATAAATCATGATAAGAGAGAAGATAAGCACCAGCTTTTGATTGAAAGAGCAAGATTCAACAAGAGATTACAAGAAAAACTAAGGGAAATACAAAAGAGAAAGCTATTATCCAGAGGGTAAAGATGATAAGAGAGATAGCTTATGTTTTTAGGTCGCAGCCTATATATAGTTTTCAGGAAAAACCATTAGTAAACCGGAAATAAACCGAAAAGCAGCTGGTTCGGGCGCCTGATATCGACTTGTCACGTCGATACTCTAGTCGATATCGTTTGGCAGAAGAGTGTACCGGCCAGGTCTCGTCGATACTCATATCGATACAGCTTCCCCTTGGTAAGGCGTCTCAGGTGATCTCCTCGATACGCTGCTCGATACAATCGTCTTTTAGTTAAGGCTCATCGAGCTCCAATGTCGATACAGTGGTCGATATACTTCTTTGGCCTGCGTACCGAGATGATGCTATGTCGATATGTTGGCCGGTACAATAGCTTTAGAGGAAGTGTATCGATTAGTCGTAGCTCGATATTCTTCTGGTGTCCTGTCTCTTTGTATCGACTCTGGGGCTTCGATGTGTTGATCGATATAGCACCCCAGCAATTATCGATGCGTGAAGCCGATATGCTGCTATGTATGTTGTGTATCGACCTGCTATGTCGATATCCTACTCGATACGAAGCCTTCTCGCCTTGGCTCCTTCATCTTTTGATTCCCAGCTCTTCCTTTAGTCCTCAAACTCCTGAAATGCACCTGCTAAATGCTAGGAATGCATCTAATATGCAATGCAACTCTTATCTATACTCTAGATGCTAAGTGGATGCAATAGGGACAATAATATGTAGAAATGCATGCTTGAAGACTACCAATCAATGCAAAAATACATGCCAATATGGTGTAAATAATGAGTATATCAATGTTTAACCTTAATCTTGAGGATTTAAACATGATTAGTGAGTAGTCCACTTTTAAGCTTAAGATTAAGGTAGATTATGGTGGTTTAATGATGGATTAGGATGCTAGGTTGTTAGATCTTTGTTAATCTCTTCTTATGTGATTGTGTTTGATGCTTAGTACCACCTTTATAGAGAAAGAGATATTAGGCGCCTTTGACTTGCATGAAATGTGTGTTGAAATGTTTGAATGAAATTTGTTGTATGAAAATAGTGTTTTGATTGTCATGACTCTTAGCATCTATCATTTCTTGCACACTTGTTCTTAATGCTTCATTACTTAATGGAATGAAAACTGAATTTAAATACTGATTATGCATGGGAGTGTGAGTTAGTATTTGATCCATTGCATGAGAGATAAGTAAGCTTAGCAGTTCTAGGAGGCTTATTAAGCTTTAAGGACCTTGTTATTAATGCTTATTAGTTATATTTCTACCATTGAAAGTGGGTTAGGAGTGTAGCTAGTAAAGGGATTATTGTTAAAGGATTAGATTAATCTTCATTAGTGGTCTTGTTTAGAGGATAGACATTGATTGTTTGTTTGCACATTGATCTTGATTTAAACCACACAAGTCACATTGCCTTAGTCTTGATCCTAGCTTTTAATTACATTTCAAATCCTGTTTAGTATTGCTCTGTTTTGTTGCACTTAGAACTATTTTGTTTTGCTTTTGTCACTTGGTTACTTGATTACATTCTTGCTTTGATTACATTCTTGCTTGCTTGAGTGTGATTTGATTTCAAAACCCCTTTTGCCTAGCTCTTCAAGATTGTTGAATATTCTTAAACTTCCTCTTGTTTGGATTGATTAACTCATTGCCACTATACTACACCTAGTGCAATTGAGGTTGCACTACAAGGCATAAAGAGCCTTGTGTCATCCTACCGGGAACAGATACTCAGGAGGGTATTCCTAGGGGTTTTAGGTTAGGTGTCTCGTCAGGGGATCGAGGCAACTGTCTGCTTATGAGTATTTCAGAAGGGTTCTATGACAAGAGAGTAGGTTTAGCGAGTATAAAGGCAAGATTTCGAGTTAAAGAAGGGCTTATCATGTTCAACATTACCTCGGGGATAGAGCATGCACCCATGAGATAATGTTGTGAGGCCGGGACTGGCCACTCTGAGGCGGGACCTGGCTTTTCCTTCTCAGGCTTGGTTTTAAGGAGGTATCTTCTTTGATCTCGACATCCTTCTCTCCAAACCGAGGTCCTCTCTCTTTCTTGTTCTCCTCTTCTTCCTTTTTATACAAATCTACTTCATTCTGTCTTATCCATTCAGTGTGCCATAAGAGCAAGTATGTTGGTGGTGCATATATGATTCGGAAATCCTACCAACTATCCAGGAACAGTGTACTAAGCAGTTGTTGACCGAACTAATGAACTGTGTTAACGTGTAAAATGGTTCAGTGTCCATATGTTACACTATCCTTAGATATGATAAAATCGATCTCAGCATCAGTATTTTTTTATATATATAATTTCTATATTGTATTTTTAAAAAGTGATTACGTAATATTTTCTTTAATGTACAAAATCAAATCGAATTTAATGTGTAAACGAAATTTAACTGAATCGATTTTTGTAGACCTAATTCAACCAAAACTCTCATCGAATTCTCTCTCTCTGTTCGGTCTCTCACCCTCACGCTTACAAACACGAAAGTGGACATCTTATCTGCTCACGTTTTATGGTGACTTCTTACCTCATAATATTAAACACAACCGTTACTGAAGAAGAAAATCGCAAAACGTGTAACGGAGAAAAAATTACTCAGGTTAAAAAATTACAGCCAACTGTTTTTTTTGTTTTCCTCTCTCTCTCGAGCTCTCGTGAGAGCTTTCTTTCCCCATCTCAATCTGCATCTGCAATCCCAATCATATCTTTACACATACTATTGAATCTCTTATCGGTAAGTTCGAATCAGCTAAATCTCAAAATTCCATAAATCTGTTCTCTAGAGTTTTTTAGTTTAGATCACCGATTTATAGTTTCGGTCGTGAATTGTGATGGAGATTTTGGATTTTCTCTCAATAATTAGTCAGATGTGAATTCAATTGAATCGTCACAGATGATTGATCTCGTGGAGTTTCTTTATCTTCTCTCCCCGCAGAAGCACTTTGAGAAAAGTTTAATATTTTATTTTATTTTAACTACGACAGATACAGAAACAACCTCCATTGTTCCTCTGTTCCTTTCATTTATGGCTTCAACAATCGATTCCAGCGTCTCTGATCTCTTCTCATCCGCTCCAGCTCTCCAGAGTAACCTCGGAATCTTATCTCCAGATAAGGTTCTGTACCAACGCTTTTGTGAAATGTTCTTGTTATCTTTCTTTTCTTGTAATTCCATTGTGATCTGGTTTTATTGGCAGATCGAATTGGCCAAGATCCTGGTCGAGAATGGTCAGACTTATCTCTTTCTCCACTGGCCTGAACCAGGCGTCTCTGACAAAGAGAAACTAAGTTTCTTCGAACAGGTTCTGTCCTTTTTTATCTCCTTTCGTTAAATTTCTGATTGATCAGCTCGTTTCTTGAATCCACACAATTCAATTTTGATGACCACAACTTCATTGTTTTGATCGAATAACTTAATATCATTTTAGATTGCTCGCTTAAACTCGAGCTATCCTGGGGGATTAGCAGCATACATTAAGACTGCGAAAGAGCTTCTCGCAGATTCGAAAATAGGGAAGAACCCATACGCTGGTTTCTCTCCTTCTGTAAGTAGACACAAATCTTGAATTCAAAAGTTGTGTATTGTTGTGTTGTGTCTAGAGTTTTTAACTGAAGGTTTTTTGCAGGTCCCTTCAGGAGAAAATCTTACTTTTGGTAGTGAGAACTTCATTGAAATGGAGAAAAGAGGTGTCGTCGAAGCTAAGAAAGCTGCTTTTGTTCTTGTTGCTGGTGGGCTTGGCGAGCGTCTTGGTTACAATGGAATCAAGGTAAACAGTGAGCATAGTTTCATTGACTTAATCACTATTCCATAGGTAGAATCATAGAATATTCAAGACTTGAGATCACTGCTTTTTGAAACTTATCTCATTTAGCATGGTGGGTTTAACAGTGTTGTATGTGATTTATCTTTTTAATCAATCTTACACGTTTGGGAATATTATTTGACCAAAATTGTGAATTTTCAATTCCTAGGTGGCACTTCCAAGGGAGACAACAACAGGGACATGCTTCTTGCAACACTACATTGAATCTATATTGGCTCTTCAAGAAGCTAGCCACAAGGTCGCTTCTGGTATGTTTTTAAAATTTTCTTGACACAATCCTCAAAACACTTTTTTTTTCACATCTCTTAGCAGTGATCGTAATTGCACATTTCGCAGATGGAAGTGAAGGAGATATTCCTTTCATTATCATGACATCTGATGATACACATTCACGTACACAAGAATTGTTAGAGTCAAGCTCTTATTTCGGGATGAAACCTACTCAAGTACATCTTCTAAAACAGGTAAGTGATCAGCTACTTGAGAGCCCCAAAAAGAGTTAAAAGTCTTGAAAAAAACAATTGATCGCTACTTTTTTTTCCTCTATAGGAAAAAGTTGCTTGTCTTGATGATAATGATGCTAGACTTGCATTAGACCCTAACAACAAATACAAGATCCAGGTACAATATCATTATACGTCTATTGTTTAATGGATCCCAACTTTAGTACAATGTTTGCAAAGCTGACTCTGACTGTCTTCTTCTTGTCTAATTCGTAGACAAAACCGCATGGACACGGCGATGTACATTCGCTTCTTTATTCCAGTGGTCTTCTTGATAAATGGTATTTTCTCTATCAGCAGATATATGGCATTTTATAAGTTTGTTGCCTACAGTTTCTCTTCTTATTTGTTGCAATTTCAGGCTTGATACTGGTTTAAAATGGGTTTTGTTTTTCCAAGATACAAATGGACTTCTCTTCAATGTTAGTATCAGCTTCTCAACTCTTTTTTGTGTTATAAGTGTTTCATACAACTCTGTTGGAAAATTCATACTTCATTGGTCCAGGCAATTCCAGCTTCTTTGGGTGTGAGTGCGACCAAACAGTATCATGTTAACTCTCTCGCTGTTCCTCGCAAAGCTAAAGAAGCTATCGGAGGAATCACTAAACTCACTCACGATGATGGTAAACTTTAGTGAAGAGCAAGAACCCACACTGTTTTATATTTACGTTTTATGATCGACGATATTGATTTCGAAATTGTTTTTCAGGCAGATCTATGGTGATCAATGTTGAGTACAACCAACTTGATCCACTACTTAGAGCATCTGGATTCCCTGATGGTGATGTTAACTGTGACACAGGCTATTCTCCTTTCCCTGGAAATATTAATCAAGTGAGTTGTTATTATCCATGTTTTGTCTCTAATCAGGAAGGTTTTCAAGTCTCTCAATTTTTTGTTTATGTTATTTTTAATCCAGCTGATTCTTGAACTTGGTCCATACAAAGAAGAGTTGCAGAAAACTGGAGGGGCCATTAAGGAGTTTGTTAATCCAAAGTAACTCTTCTTCTTTTTCCTCCCCTTGTCTTGATTATTAGTAAAATCTGATTCTTTGACATCTAATTTCTTGATTAATAGATACAAGGATAGCACCAAGACATCATTCAAATCGTCAACTCGTCTAGAGTGTATGATGCAAGATTATCCAAAGACATTGCCACCAACAGCACGCGTTGGATTCACTGTAAATGGCTATCTTCAGAGTAAAAAAAGTTGCTTTAGTTATGCATATGCTTGTTGTAACAATGTTTTCCTCATGTAGGTGATGGATATATGGCTTGCTTATGCACCTGTCAAGAATAATCCCGAGGATGCTGCTAAGGTTAAATGTTAATTTCTTAAAACTGCAACCAAAAATCAAGCGGCATTAACAATTCTTGTGACATAATCAACTTGTTCTACTCGTTTTATCTGCTTCAAGGTACCAAAGGGAAACCCATATCACAGTGCAACTTCTGGAGAAATGGCTATTTATCGTGCTAACAGCCTTATTCTTCAAAAGGTACCTCTCTGTTTAACATATGCCTCTAGATACACGTGATCTAGTGTAGTCTTCTCCATGATGGGTTATAGTCACTTTTTAATTGCCTTCTTCTCTCTACAAAGCAGCATCTTTATTGGTTTTTTCTAATTCTTCAGGCTGGTGTGAAAGTGGGAGAGCCTGTGAAGCAAATCTTGAACGGGCAAGAAGTTGAAGTATGGCCTCGTATCACATGGAAATCCAAATGGGGGATGATCTTCTCCGATATCAAGACGAAAGTAGGAGGGAACAGCGAGGTCTCTCGGAGATCGACAATGGCTATAATGGGTCGTAATGTGTTTATTGAAGATCTCTCCTTGGACGGTGCTCTTATTGTAGATTCCATTGATGATGCAGAGGTATGGAGTTCATTGTTGCTTATCTCTTGGGTTGTTATATCATATAAATAAACTCATGCGAAAATGTGAAAAACAGGTAAAACTTGGAGGTTTGGTCAAGAACAATGGTTGGATTATGGAAAATGTAGATTACAAAGACACATCTGTTCCAGAGGAAATAAGAATCAGAGGTTTTAGATTCAACAAAGTGGAGCAACTCGAGAAGGAGTTCACTCAACCTGGACACTTTACTTTGGAGGGTTAAAAGTTAACAAAGTAGAAATTTGGAAATGCCAAATAATTCAATTGTCCTTCTGATGCACATTCAATAACTTTTTCTTTAACTACATTTTTAATGTTTTTTTGATGCTTAATGATATTCATTTTCATTGAATATTTGATTTTCAGGTGTTTCATTTAATAAAAATTAATTTACTAGTGTATCTAAAAAGCTGACTGGTTGGAGAAATTTTTATGTGATTGTGATTAGTGCGTTAATTCAGTCTACTCCAATTCTTATGCGTTAATTCAGTCTACTCCCTTGTGACCAAAACCAAAATGTGTATGTGATTAGTGCATACAATATTTCTCGTTAACATTTTTCTGATTATTTTATTTGATTATGTCCACGAATTGTGTACTAATCTATGATGACTATTAACAAGGTATCTATAGTTGTATACAATTTACATAAGTTAGGCATGTTTTAGCGGAACCGACCCACTAACTCCATATCAAATTGGATCATCAAATATTTCTTATACTAGATTTTTTTTTTTTTTTTTTTTTTTTTATCATAAACCTCTTCATATGGTCACTGACTCGCTATGCAATAGTATGCATAAACCTATTATTGTGGGGTTGGGTGTTACCCGTTAGTTTATGTTTTCGCTGTTTATTTTATCAATATTTTCAAGATTAATTAAGAGTTATAGTTATTTTTAAATTTGGTTCTCATTTTACTCTTCTTTGTAAACAACACCTAATAATTTGACCCCCCATACGTTCTCCAGCTAGTACGGATGATATATATACAAGAAAACTACTTCTTTTTTTATTAATCTTGTCATTTTTCTGAAAAAACATTAATTAAAAACAAGAGTTTACTAGTCCAATTATTAAGGTTTATGTCTTTCAAGCAACTAATTTGACATATGATTAGAACTGTAGCAATGCAATATATCTCAAGATTGTGTTTTAACACCTAACTAATCCAAAAAAGACAAACTCGAAGGATTTGGTAATTATAAATCTTGAATTTAAATCAAATTTTAACATAAGAAAACGATGAATATAAGAATCAATATCTTTAAAGACAATGAATTTCAACGTGATTTTTTTAAATGTTAATAATAAATGGTGTCCTAGTTAATGTTGAGACATGAAGAATTACAATATTAAGAACAATATGAGCTGTTCAACCGAGACTGGGGTGACTAATTGTGTTTTGGCTCGCGGTAAGTTAAGGATCATAAGAAACCGAGAAAAGACAGCACACTCGAATCATTTTGTAACTATAAATCTTGAAATTAGTTTGAATTTTAACATAAGTAAATGATATTACAAAAATGATGTATATTAAAAACCAAAACGATTTTAATTTGACTTTCTAAATCTAATAATAAAAAATGTACTGGTTGATGTTGAGATATGAAGAATTGCAATAATAAGAACATGGGATGTTTAAGCAACGAAAAGATAATGCTTCCACGACCACTTGTGTGTCTTTTGTTCACTTTCTCTTTTTATATAACATATGATTATAATGGGTAATGGGTCTCCTCTCCATATTTTGAGTCCAATTATAATCATTTGCGATTCGACTACACTTTTTAAAGATAGTAATCATAGAATGCTTATCGTAAAATAGGGAACCTTCTGAGTCTTGAACCTTGATGGCTGATGGTGTATGAGATTATTGTGTTAAACTAAAATATCACTAAAACATAAAATAAATAATAAACAGTTTTAGAGAATAGATCTATATTAAAGTTTAAAGACTGAATGATTACAAATGTGGCGTGATCTAGAAGTGTTGCCAAAGTGAATTAAAAACTTTATTAAATTAAATAATAAACTAGAAATCTTGAAATTTTTATGGTTTTCTATTTGTAAAATTTAAAGAGTCGATTACAGCGAATTCTCTTTATTTTATTTCTTAGTAATATTTTTCATATTTCAAATATGAAAATATTTTTTTCTGATTTAATGAAAGTTTTCTATTATCTTTAAATATTTTGTTTTTATTTAAAGAAATCAATGTAGTTTAAATTGTACTAGGTGGTTGGTCCGCACATATGTGCAGGTATAATTTTTTTGATATATATAGTTAATTGTAATATTTAAATTTTGATTAGTTTTTTAAATATTGGTATGTTTGTATATATATTGTTTTAATATTTCACAAACTTCTTTCTGAAATCAATGTATTTTAAAACTTTTTATATTTATAATACTTGTAATAATATATAATCACAAATATAAAAGTTATGTTAAATAATAATTAAAAATTCTTATAATATTTTTTTAAATATTTCTATAATATGCTTTATTTCTCCTTACACAAACTACGATATGCTTTTTTGCGTCTTACATAATATGAATTTGCAAATACATATAATATATTTAAGTATATATTTTTCTTGATTTATTGTAAATTAAACTGAAATAGTTTTACCATTTTTACTTATTCATAAGAGCGGATAGATAATTAGCACGCATGTGAGAGTATACCAACCACTTCACTACACTTAGAATAGATAAAAATAATTTTAAAAATATAAATTGTATAATAATAAAAATAAAAATTAGACTGTAATCAATCTTAACAAAATACATGCACAGAAAAGTTCGCATGTGACTTCAACTAATGTACAATTAATATATATGTATGTACGCGTATTTGTAAAAAAATAAAATATAACTCTTACGTCTTAAAAAGTTTTTAAGTGACTTTGTAAAACAAAGTGCAAGAGATTTATTTTTATATACTTTTATTTTTTATTTATGATTCATATTGTTTCATCTTATTATAATTTATTTTTTCGTTCGGTTATTTTTTATTTCATTTACTCTCTCAAATTTTCCATATACAATGAAAATAAATATATATATATATATATGCATATGCCATTATTTTTATTTAAAATATGATAAGAGATAAGATGAGATAGTAACATAAGTTATGTACATTTTAGAAAACAACAATAAAAAGATGATAAAAGTTATAGAAAAATATATGGTCCTATTAATATTATAAAATAATAATTAATATATACTTTATTCAATTAGTAAATATCGGTTTAAAAATAAAATTATTCAAAATTATGTTTTTTAAAACCATTTCAATAAAGTTAATTATTTTATTATTTTAACATTTTATTCTTTAAATTATTTTTATCATGATTGTATTTTATATAAAATTGTATTATTTAATAATTTTTTTATTTAGAACTTGTTTAGATGTTATTAATATATTTTGTAAATTAATAACTTTCCGATATAAAAATATATCATACTTTAAGTATTATTAATAAATATAATTTTTACTATTCTATTAGATCATTTAGTATTATTTATTTTTTGTTTTTATGTGAAATTATAATATATATATATATTGTTAAAAAATTCATAATTATATTTTATGAAATTATGAATATATGTAAAAAAATATAATTATAATAACTTTTATTTTCTGTTAATTTAAATTTGTTAATTTTAGTGTTACAAATATAATCTAGTTTATTTATGTTTTAATTCCATAACTATAATTTTAATTCAACTAATCAAAATATTTCGTTTATTTTAGGAAGTTTGACATGTCACATTTACATGTCATCAATTAAAAGCACTAACTTTGGTTGTAGTGTTGACAAGTAAGCTATTTTCAATAATATTATTTCTCAAATAATATGTAGTGGATTAATAGACTTAGGCTATTGCTAGAAATATCTTCTAAAAATATGTTCATTTTCCCTCTAACATATTATATTGATGATTCAATTGCAAAAAGATTTGTAAGTTTACCAAAATCTAATTTTATCTCAATTTTTTCTTCAGATGGACGGAAATTCTTAATATTGCAGTTCAAAAAAATTATAAATTTTTTTTTTACAGAATTAATTATTTTTAATTGATTTGAATATAAAATTTCGTCACCAGCCGCCATCAAGTAAAGAATATGGACTATAGTATTCACATAATAAATACATACATCAACATTAGTCTAAATTTTTGTTTGTAGGTCATAATATTCTCACTTGTTTTATGAAAGAACCAGCAACAAATCCGAGAATACACGAACTATGTTATTCATGGGATGTGGTCATGTGGATAAACACGTATACAGTATAAACTCTGGCTTTTTTGTTTGTTATTGGCTCATTTAAAATATAAAAAAGAAAAGAAAAATATAATAATGTTTTTCGTTTGATCAAGTAGAGGAAATAAAAGCGCAATTAAGTTGATTTTAGTTTATTTGTTCTTTTTCATAAACGGATTAAAATTAAAATGACTTAATGAAGTTTGTAATTAGCTGGATCTTGGTAATTAGTGGGATCTCTCCATGTGGGAGTTTCATGCCTATGAGTTGGAAACAAAGGATGAAAGGAAAGCTTTTATTTTTTTTTAAGTTTCAATGGCAAATGCAATTTCGAAACGGAACCAGAAGAGAGTTGAATTAGTTTAAAACCCAACTTGGTTCAGTGGAACGAACGTACCGGGAAAGTTGCTAGTAGCAATGAAGAAGGAACCATAAGTTTAAGGAAAAACTCAACTTCGTCTAATAAAATGATTATGGTTTTTTCTGAGCGTTTACATATGTATATGCTATTTTATAATAGAGTGAATTGGTAATAGACTGGAATCAAAGATTCAAAGATAGTGACTTGGATCATAGAAAATGGTCGAACAACATATTATCATCAAGGAAGAAGTCGAGAAACTTAACCAAGTGGGATAGATGCTTGAGTGGCTATCAACATATTATCAATAAGGGGATGTTGTACAAAAGAACAAATCAAAAGATCAGACGAACTCATGATCAACCTAGCTGACTTAGCCCATGGATCAAATGATCACATGGTTTATGGGATAAATTATGACCAACGCAAAGAACAAATAACTTGGTTAAATGACTTAGCCGAAATGAATGAGATAAATGGCTGAACCGAACTAATTGGATGAGCTCGATAAGCTGGATGAGTAACAGTTGAGTGAACTCATTGAGTATTGACTGAGTTTGATGAACTTATCAGCTTGGCCTTGAGCATAGCCAAATAAAACATTTGTCTGAAGCCCCAAAATTTATATGGTTAAATGTATATATTATTTGACCTTCAAATTATTATCTTTTAAAATATGTATAGATTATCTACTATTCAACTGGAAATTGTTTTAAGCTCCATAAATCTTAGGGTTGGCTCTCAACTAATCAACTTATTAAATATATTTTTTTTTTTAGAAAATAAAAAGTTAAGATATGAGCAATACCGGTCCAACCAAAATAGTAGTCCAAATTTAAGAAATAGTTTTTTATATTTTTATATTTAGTATTTAGACAATATTAATTTAAAAATATAAATTTATCAAATAATTTATATATTTTTGTATATCTAATCCAAAAACTCTTATATTTTTTTTTTACAATATATGTGGCCCAATAAATATAAATTTTATAATATTTGTATCTTAAAAATTAATTAAAAGTTGGTGGTCCTAAGCTATGACTTAGTCTACCACTCTTTGGATTGAACTTGAGAAAAAAAGAACTAGAGTTATATGATTTTATAAAAAGTTAACGGAAAAATATATACGATTACATAAGATTTATTACGTTTGTGACTGAATAAAAATTTCTAAATAAAATTAAACTACGATTTTTTTGTTTCAGTTATGATTTGGTTATTTAGATTAGACCGATCGATGATTAGGTTGCTTTTCAGTTTGGTTCGATTGCACCGAATCACTCACTTAATCGTATTTTTTTAATTTTTGTAAACCAATATACCAAATTTAATCAAAAAATATTACAAATTCTCATCTGAAAAACCAAACTAATCGAAATGATTCAATTTTTACTCAAATCTAACCGGTTATAACTTTTAACCAAATTTAAACCCCAAAATAAAAATTTTAGATTAATTTTGATTAAAGTTGGTATTAGAATTATCCAATATCGAACTGAACCGTAATTTATTTTCAGTTGTTTTTGATAAAAGTTTTTACTATCCGTCTTATTAAACTATCCGAACCGAATACCTGAATAAACCAAACTCACACGCCTAGATTTTAATTAAGACATAGTCCCATAGCCGGTGAATATTACGGTTAAGCCGACCGTTTCTCTACGGCTCCACGTCTAATAGCCTACCAAGTAAGAAACATGTGAAAGAAGTTTGTGTACAAAAAGGAAAAAGGAACCGGTAGTTAAACGATCCTGACGTCGTCGGTCACAACCACAATACTGAACAGAGTTATCCCAATAACCAAACAGCACAAACTTCTAAACCCATTAACCAAACATGGCATTATTTGCCTTAACGCGCTCTGAAATAGAAATTTGTCTGTCTGATGGTTCTTACTTTTTTTCTGTTTTTGATGTTTCTGGCAAATAATAAAGTAAACAAAATTAAATTAAAATAAGAAAGATCCGAGTTCTCGGAACAGATACATTGCATGTAATTTTCAACCAAAGTATAAAAACCATATCTTGACCTTATACTGACCGATCATTTCTTTTCCCTTTTTTTTTTCTTCCCTCCTTCTCTCAGATCTTTTTTTTTTCCCTATCCGACAGGGTTTTCTTCTCTCTCTCTCTCTTCCTGATCTTCATGTTCATCTCTTTCTTGAATACAATCGGAGCTGATTTGATCGTTTTCTTCTTCATCGTCTTCGGATCTTTCTTTTTTGCTCTCTCCCAAGGGTTTTCGCTTGAGGATTCAAGCGCTTTTGTTTTTCCTGGGAAGTTTGAGCTGAAACCATGTCTCAAATCTTTAGTTTCTCTGGTAAGTTTCACAAATCTTGGAAAAGTTGATTTTTCGATTAGATTTTAGGCGATTCACATATATGATCGTGTATGCAAATGATTATGAGTTAGAAATAGATAGATCTGGGTTAAAGTTTTGGCCTTTTGATGAGCTTATGGATCATATCAGAGAATTTAATCATCAATAGATCTTAGGATCCATGAATCTGATCTTTGATTATGAAATTCAATTCATTTCTGTTTTAGCTAAATCAAAATCTCTCCTTTTGGTATTTTTTTTTCTCAGGTGAGAATGATTTTTGCCGTCGTGGAGCAATATACCCAAATCCCAAAGAAGCTAATCTTTTGCTGTCCTTTGGTAGTCTCGTTGATTGCTACTTCCCTCCTTGTAAGAGATCACGCGTTGTCGCGCCTTCTTCTCCCTTCAGTGCCTTCGAGGACAAGCCAGTCTCTATTGATTTTCTCCCTGAAGAGTGTCTCTTTGAGATCTTCAGGCGTTTGTCTGGACCACAAGAGAGGAGTGCTTGCGCTTCTGTCTCAAAACACTGGCTTATGCTTGTAACTAGCATCAGGCAAAACGAGATCGATGTCGTTCCTTCGAACAAAATCGAAGAAGATGGTGATGATTTTGAAGGATGTTTATCTAGGAGCTTAGATGGGAAGAAGGCAACAGATGTTAGACTAGCTTCGATCGCTGTTGGAACCGCTGCTCGTGGAGGGCTTGGGAAGCTTTCTATCCGAGGAAACGATTCTTCGAGCAAGGTTTCAGATGTCGGTCTTAGGTCGATTGGTCGGAGCTGCGCTTCTCTCGGGTCTCTTTCGCTTTTGAACCTCTCTACTGTTACTGACAATGGTCTCTTGGAGATCGCTGAAGGTTGTTCTAAACTCGAGAAGCTTGAACTTAACCGTTGCTCTTCAATCACGGACAAGGGTCTTGTAGCGATTGCTAAGAGCTGCGAGAACTTGACTGAGCTGACATTGGAGGCTTGTTCAAGAATCGGAGATGAAGGTCTGCAAGCTATTGCAAGATCCTGCTCCAAGCTGAAGTCAGTTTCGATCAAGAACTGTCCTCTTGTTAGAGATCAAGGAATCGCCGCTCTATTGTCTAACACCACGTGTTCCTTGACGAAACTTAAGCTTCGGATGTTGAATGTTACTGATGTGTCTCTTGCTGTTGTTGGTCATTACGGTTTGTCCGTGACTGATCTTTCCCTCTCTGGATTGTCGTATGTGAGCGAGAAGGGCTTCTGGGTCATGGGAAATGGCGTGGGACTACAAAAGCTAAACTCTTTAACCATCACAGCTTGCAACGGAGTGACTGATACCGGTCTTGAATCTGTCGGAAAAGGTTGTCCGAACATGAAGAAGGCGATGATCAGTAAATCCCCGTTGCTATCAGACAACGGTTTGGTCGCTTTCGCTAAAGCTTCTGTATCGTTGGAGAGTCTTTATCTTGAAGAGTGCCACAGAGTCACCCAATTTGGGTTTTTTGGTTCTCTTTTGAACTGTGGTACAAAGCTGAAGTCTTTCTCTCTGGTGAACTGTTTCGGCATTAGAGATCTAACCACGGGACTGCCTACTTCTGCTTCGACTCATTGCTCTGCTCTGCGATCTCTCTCTGTTCGTAACTGCCCTGGCTTCGGTGATTCGAATCTCGCAGCTCTCGGGAAGCTTTGCCCTGAGCTCGAGGATATCGAGCTTTTTGCTCTCAAGGGAGTAACAGAGTCTGGCTTTCTACATCTAGTGCAAAACTCTCTTGTGAAGGTGAACTTCAGTGGCTGTTCAAATTTGACAGATACAGTGGTCTCTGAGATCTCTGCTCATAACGGTTGGACTCTTGAGGTCTTAAACGTCGACGGATGCACCAAGATCACCGACGCAAGCCTTGTCTCGATCGCAGAGAACTGCGAGATTCTGAGCGATTTGGATGTTTCGAAATGCTCGATCTCGGATTCCGGAATTCAAGCTTTGGCTTCCTCTGATAAGCTCAGGATCCAGATCCTATCCATGGCAGGTTGCTCTATGGTCACAGACAAGAGCATACCAGCTCTTGTGAGGTTAGGGTCGACTCTATTGGGATTAAACCTCCAACAATGCCGATCTCTCTCTTATTCCACTGTCGATTTCTTAGTCGAACGGCTCTACAAATGCGACATCCTCTCCTGATCAACGATTCCACTTATCCACCTATAATGAAGGTATCTTTAGTCCAGTCCAAGTTTATCTTTTTCAGGCTCTGTGATTCTAATGCGTCTCCTCTCGGTATTACTCGGTTTTCGTTCTTTTTTCCAAGTGATTCGGCTTCCGGTTTCTTTTTTCCAGTCAATGTTGTTTTTGCAAGAGTTTCTTGCTTATCACGAAACCGGAACGTCCGTGTTGTTGCTTGTGACTATAATCACTGGGTAATACTGTGGTTTTAGGGTTTATCATCATCTCCTGTTTCTTGTGTCTTTTACGAGCCTAATCGTTTGCGTTGTTTGTCTTGTTGAAAGTTTGGTTTTGCTCGAAAGGGTCTTTGTGTGATTTTGTATGTGTTCAAGATTTGTTTAAGCCTTGGGTTGTTTCTTAGAGGTTTGCTCTGGCTTTGTTGCAACAAACTCTGTTTTTAAGAGTTTTTTTTTATTGTTGTTTTTTTTGCCAGAGCCCTCGTTTTTTTTTCAGGCTAATGTATACAAATCTGTATGAACACTGTACTAAAATTATGTACTGCCCGTTTGGGATGGTTTAATGAGTATTAAATAAAATTCTCATTTCGTTGTATTTCTTTTCCTTTTAATGACCTTTCGAGAACTGAGAAATTATTACACCTTTAAAGCTCTGTTTGTGGGACAAAGAATCAAAATTGTATGTGGAAAACCTGTGTTTTGACTTTAGTTTTACTTTAAATTTGGTCCAAACAAAAAATTGAATGTGTTCAATGAATGTGGTCGAGGAGAAGAATCTGGCCAGCGATTTTCGATACGATATGATTTTGAGTGGGATTAAAATAAAGTGGAAAAGGAAGTGTCATTATTATGACTATTCGTTGTCGCTATTATTGTTAATTGTGGACTAATCTTTGATAATTAATTAAAGATGGGCCAGATTTCCCAAATTATGATCCCTTAAAGTGGAGACAAAGAATCCCTTGTGAGTTGCGCGTATTGTTCACACAACCTTGACCGTATTCTCTTATTGTGCGGAGTCCCCCAAGCATCTTCCTGTTATAAACAATTTTATATTGAAATTTTCTTAAATACTGTAAAAATGAAATACTTATAATTATACTTCGTTTTTTGTCAGGGAAAATATAATTTGTCAATTAGAAAAGAAATATATGATATAAAAAAAGAAATTAACATAAGCTAGAATATAAGAATTAATTATTATATATGGTTTTGAAAAATAGATAAAATAAGAATAAGAAAGAACATGATTAAAATATATTTTAAAATAATTAAAATGATTCATCTTTATGTAAACTACTTCCAACTTTTTTCAAAATAAAATTATATTGAATTTTGTTTTTGGTGAAAATTATATATATAAAAAATAAGTGATAAAATACTGTGTTTGAAAGCAAATTTCGGGATGCTATAACTGGTCGATGTGTATTGCGGGAAAGATTTGAACTCTGGAGATGGGTTAGCCTGCAACGTCACGGGAAAAGGAAGAGAATTCAGGTAACAGGAAAGGGGTTGCCCTCCCGATTATACTCCGACGCTCTAGTCAGAAATTGGACACGAGACTGGACGAAACATATTGATTCTACCGGGAGGACGAAGTATGAGGTGCTTTACCGGTTCGTAGGGATCCCGATAAGGCTTTTAGAGTGGTGATATATTATAGTAAATAAAGCTAGAAGATGAAATTATCGTTCTAGGTGTCTCTTCCTCTTGGCTGTTGAGAGGAGTGGGTTTTTATAGGAGATACCTGGTTCCGGATTGCTTCTGGGTTCGGACCTCCAACCTCTCCGGGTCAGGTACTAACTATCGTCTTTTTTCATCATTATCCCCATTCCCGTGAGCTCCGACCTCATGTACTAACTATGGTTAGAGGAATGGGTTACCGATCTGCTCCGACCTCTCCTAGCTGCCATCATTACGGCTCTCTTTGGTAGGTGCAGCACATTTAATGCACCTCGGGTTCCTGCGGCGTTTGCTGCCCACGCATTGGGCCCTCGTGGACAGTGCGCAAGTTTTGCGGCCCAACAGTTGCCCCCAACTTGTGGAGCTCGCTTGGGGAGGTTCGCAAGTCTGGCCTGCACATGAATCGAAATACCAGAGATTATTATGCTCTCATTTTGTTTGCTTCCCAGCCGTGAACAGGGGTCTGTCGCTCCGAAGCCGACCGGTCTCGGAAAGACCGCTATCTCCGGAGGGTGTTCCCCGGAGGGCGTGCTCTTGGAGGCCGATCTCAGAAAGACCGTTATCTCCGGAGGGAGTTCCCCGGAGGGTGTCCCCCTAGAGGCCGATCTCGGAAAAACTGTTATCCCCGAAGGGAGTTCCCCGAGAGCGTGCCCCTGGAGGTCGATCTCGGAAAGACCATTATCCCCGGAGGGGGTGCCCCTGGAGGTCGATCTCCGAAAGACCGTTATCCCCGGAGGGCGTGCCCCTGGAGGCCGATCTCGGAAAGACCGTTATCTCCGGAGGATGTTCCCAGAAGGGCATGCCCCTGGACGCCGATCTCGGAAAGACCGTTATCCTCGGAGGGAGTTCTCCGGAGGGCGTGCCCCTGGAGGCCGATCTCGGAAAGACCGTTATCCTCGGAAGGTGTTCCCCGAAGGACGTGCCCCTAGAGGCCGATCTCAGAAATACCGTTATCCCCGGAGGGCGTGCCCTTGGAGGCCGATCTCGGAAAGACCGTTATCCCTGGAGGGTGCTCTCCGGAAGGCGTGCCCCTGAAGGCCGATCTCGGAAATATTGTTATCCCCGGAGGGAGTTACCTGGAGGGCATACCCCTGGAGGCCAATCTCGAAAAGATCGTTATATCCGGAGGGTGTTCCTCGGAAGGGCGTGCCCCTGGAGGCCAATCTCAGAAAGACTGTTATCCCTGGAGGGAGTTCATGGGCTTCTAGACTGGGATCCAGGATTCTCGGGGTATGGGCCCCACCATGGCAAGCGTGCTCAAGCGGGTCTTAGTGTGCGGTTGACGCGTCACCTCGTGAATGGTTTATTCCTCAGGAGGGCGAATAGTCCTTGCGCGTTGGTCCTCGGATTTTCACGGATATTCTCTGTCGGCAGCATACTATCTTTCTCTTATACTTTTACCAGGCGGATTGTATCGATCCCCTTAAACATCTTCTTTGTTAGGGTTACGCGTGTGCTCCTGGTGTTTTCTCCTTTGCCGCACTCGCTTTCACGAGACATTTCGCTCGCCGCATCGACCCTGTGACTTTTGCCCCTTTTTCCTTGGCAAGCCTCTTCTTATTTTCTTTTTTTTCTTCTTCCTCCGATCCCTTTCCTAGCATATGCCTCGGATGCCTAAGCGAAGAGGGGCCGGTTCTTCCGGATCTGACGTCAGTCGTTCTCATTCTACCGCCGACCTCCGGGAGGACCCGTTGCTTCTCACGTGTGCTTTTGACGATCCTGTTCTTCTATCTTTTGTGAGCCCTGGCGATGGAGATTCCCCTGACTGACTTCTGTCGGCTGACGGGGATTTGCCCTAGTTAACTGGTCCCCGCCGCGTGGGGGGTTTTAAGCTCGTTCCAGGTCTTAAGTGACCTATCGGGGATTTCTATCGCCGCGAGGACATTGGGGCCTTCTTCCACCTTAGGAAGAGGGTCACGCACGATCCTATGTGGTATACCCTCATTTGAAATATCGGGGGACCGACGATCCTTTCCACCAACATGGGCAACGACCGTCGGTGGACCCAGAACTTTTGCTTTTGGCAGGTGGATCCCGCAGGTTCTGTGAGCACCACGTGGAGGGATTCCGGTAGGTGATTCCCTCATTTCTTCCTGCTCTGTTCCTCGATTGTCTAACCATTCGATCTTATTGCAGATCCCACGGGACCAAGGGACGTTGCAGGGTTGTTGAAACATCTTACTGAGATTCTGCTCAAGCTCCGGAGCCAGTCGTTCTTACTGTCCAAGCGCTGTCTTGCTAAGAGCTCCCTCTGCGTGCCGGTGGGCGGTACTTATATTGCCGAAGGTACCGCGCTTCTGCTCTGAGTCGCTCATACTCTTCTTTCCTTCTGACAGGGTCTTTATCCGGCAGCTCTTTGATTTCCTGACAGGTTCTCCGGAGTTTTTGTCGAGCTTGGCCGACATGAGAGGTGGTTCCTCGGACGAATCTGGCGGGTCCCCGCTCCGCTTGAAGCGCCTTGTCCGGAAGTGCCCCGCCGGCGAAGGTCCTTCCGGAGAGCGGCTCCTCGACGCCCTCGCATTCTTGCCAGGGCGTCCACGCCCTCTTCTGTCCTGGCACGCCTTCCTCGCTCCTTATGGGGGGAGAGAAGCGAGGGGATGAAGGTTCCCAAAAAGAACTTCATTCGGGGTTCTCCCTCCCCTTCTGCATCCGGGAATGTGGAACCGCTGCGGGGAAGAAGACTTCTGCCCTCGAGGAGGAGGATGGGGCAATGGAACGCATCGCCGCTCAGGAGGCGTATGAGAAGGCCGTTTGGGAGGGCCTTTCTATAATGGCTTCAAGGTTTGAGAAAGAGAGCCTGGACAATATCGCGAATCGGGCCAGCCATCACCGGTTCCAGGTATTTAGATTTGTCTCGCGATGACCGCTTTCATTATTCCGCGGCATTCAGTCGATGATCCTCTGTTTTGCCTTTCTTGTAGGCTGACATCATGAGCGCACACTTAGCTGCATCTGCCTCCACCTTCCAAACCCAGATAATTTTGCTTCAGGGGTTGGTGGCCTCAAAGACCGCAAAGATCGAAAGGTTACACGAAGAGAAAAAAGAGCATCACCGCGAGGCTATTCGGGTTCAGATGAAACTTGAGCGATCCGAGGGGGACGTCGCACGCCTGGAGGGTGTGGCAGCGGAGGTCGAGGGTCTGCGCAATCAGGTGGGGGAACTTCAGACCCAAGTTGCCGAAGAGAGGGCCGTGGCATCCATGGCGAAAGAGGCCATGGAGATGTTGCGCTCGGAACTCGACCCTCTTGCTTCCGCCTGAGAGCTGAGGTCGGAGATGCTGACGAGCAGCAGCGCCTTCGCGATTCTTCAGGGGTTCC